GCCGGAGCTCGGAACCCCGACGGAAGGCCTTCCTCGGCTCTGCACGCTGCTCTACTGCCGGGGTGCTGTTGGCCGCTGCAATCCTATCGCCGAGGAGGTCGCCATCGTCGCCGAGGACGTCGCCATCGTCGCCAAGGAGGTCGTCCTATCGCCGAGGAAGTCGTCTTGTTCGCCGTAAGAAAGCCGGGAGGAAGATGGAGGAGAAAAAAGAAAAGAAAAGAAAAAGAAAAAAGGAAAGAAAACATAGAAACAAGGAAATGGGATGGAAGAAGCGGCGCGACTAGGGTTTTCTGCGGGGAAGGAGGAGAAAAAAGAAAAGAAAAAGAAAAGAAAAAAGAAAAGAAGAAAAAAAAAGAAAAAAGAAAAGAAAAATGTAAATCCTCTAAAATCATTTGATAGAATACATTAGAATCTAATTAACTCTGCGTAAATTTTAAACAATCCAATGAACTTACAAAATTTATGGATTCTAAAAAATTTATCAAAATCATTTAAAATATAACCCCAAAATTTATTTAACACACTCATCTCAAAGGTCCATCCGTCCATCCAAGCTACCAAGACCTCTTTTACCATTGAAATCGCCATTAGGGATCTGCTAATCTTACCATTTCTAATCCGTTTTTACAAACTGTAGTTCAACTCCTTCCTCCGTAATTTATTGCGTTTATTTTTCTTAGACAAATTTAGCACAATAAAAAGAACGGATGAAGTAATAGGCCTAGGTAGCCTTTTGAAAAGGTAATCTAAGACATTCTTTAATTTCATCTCTTTAAAAATTGCGGAGTAATTTTTTCTTTTAAAATTTTGTCTAAAACACTAAGAGACCGTTTGGTACACGGAATTGACAGAATTAAAATTGAAATGGGAGTTTAAATCCTATGAAATTGATTTGGATGAAATATAATTCTCCAATTCAATTTATTTTTGGCACAATCAATTTCAAATCCACATATTTTTATACTTCCGAACAGCAGAATTGAAATGGTTGCACCTAATTCCAATTCCACATTTTAAATTTTGTGTACTATGAAGCCTAACATTAATTGAGAACAATATTCTCAAATAAGATCGATATTAAACTTAATAAGGAATTTTACTCCTTATTCAATTAATTTTGAAATGTAACTTTTTTGTCTCAAAAAAAAATTTTATGGTTTGATTTTATATATTTTTTTTAAAAAAGTAGAAAAGTAAAAGAGTACAAATGAAGACATACATTGAATTTTTTAAGAGGTACTTTATTCATTCCTATTTAAATTATCTGTTTCAACATATAATATTGACTGAAGTTATTTTCAATATAATTTACTCTGTATTTGAGAATTAGGGTGAATCAAAGATAAATTTACATATAAAAAATTAACATCAAAAGTTTTATGAAATAAGATGTGATATGACTATACATCCCGTTGCGCGGTACGATGTTTGACTGAAATTATTTTCTGATCATTTTATATGAAAAATGGTGTAAAAATTAAAAATAAAAATTACATATCAACAGATCTACAAAATTAGATGTGACATGACTATATTATTTTATCAAATGGGTGACAAAAATAGGTAAATGAAGTGCATAAAATTTGACCCTGTGAATAGTAAACGAGAAGTTTATTTGTGGACGAAGGGAGTATTATTTTATCAAATGAGTCTAAAAAATAGGGAAAGAAAGTGAATAAAGTTTGATTATATGAATAGTAAATATGCAATTTAATTTAAAATGAAGCGAGTAATAACGTATGAAAAATGACATGTGAAGTTTATTTTGAAATAAAAGTTGTAGTTTTTATAAAGTACTTCATTTATCCCAAATAAAGATTTTCTCTACTATTCACATGGGCAAATTATATTTTATTTCTTTAGACATTCAAGTTATTGATTATTTGATAAAAATCTATGTATAACTTTTTGATACAACACACTAGAACTTTTGAAGTAGTTTTGTCATATCACATATTTTGTTCCTACACCAATGCCTCCTTTGTCCAGTAAAACTGTGTATCTAAAGTCTAAACAGTGTATGTAACAAACGTGCTTGACAGGCATGTAGAAATATTCTTTGTTCATGTTTTTGAACTTGGATGGACATTGGCACACTTTTACCACTCTTATATTTAACATAGTATTTCCTAGAGAACTACATCTGTTTGCAGAAATGATAAACAGGAAAAAAGATTTAAACATTGTGAAAGTTCTGGTACGCTATGGTTGCCTAAATTTATTTCCAATTCAATTAATATGGAAAATGGGTAAAATTATATGATATGAAAGATACATGAGTAAAAAACAAGTCAATATGTTAAAAAATTAGTATTAAAGCTCTGTTTCGTTAGCTTGATCTGATCTGATAAGATTTTTAAAGGTAATCTGATTTTATCTAATCTGATCTTATCCGGTTGAAGATGATCTGATAGAACCTGATCTGGTCTAAAAAGATCTAATCTAATTTGAAAGGATAATATCTAATTGATCCAAATAAATGTTATAATTATTATAATAACTTTATTATTATTATTATTATCATCATCATCATCATTATAGATTTATATATTTTATGAAATAAAAAAATTGTGTAATATACTAAAGATGTAAAAGAAAGAAAATCATTGACAATAACCAATCATTCGAAAATATAGATACTACAGAGTATGTTATAAAATGATAAGTTTTCTATATCGCATGCTAATCTTGTTAAAAATGAATCTATCGTAATACTCGTGTTAGAGATCGTGCTAACATAATATTCTATTTGTGATGTTCCAAAAAAATTCTTTATCACTCTCTTATATAAGTAATACAGTAGTTATTAATTATTAAGTAATAATTGAAAAAAATAGTAATATTTTTTAACATTTTCTGAATTTATCTAATTTAATGTCAAAAGATCTTATCTGATTTGCTTTGCTTTGGTTTAATCTGATTGGATCTGGTCTAGTTTAATATGATTAGATATACTCCGTAATTAATTATGATCAGATTAAAGATCTGGTTTGATCTGATTTTAATAAAATTAAATAATAAGCTGATAAAATAAGTTGAAAGGGCGTACCCTACGTCATCTCGAGGGGGTATTGGTGTGGAATTTCGAAACCAAGAAGGGGAACGAAGTATGTTTTGGAAGCAAGAGGTAACGGTGCTCATTTATCAATTCAAACTACATGGGTATCAGTGCAGTAAACTTGACTCATATGTGATTAATCAATAAATAATTTTTTTTCTCCCTCTTCTGCATAAATCACCACACAAATCTGAAAATTACAATATTAAGTGGGTGAGTTGTCACTCATACATGGGTGACATGACAGGGAAAATACATACACCACTGGAGCTGACAGAGGAGGAGTGGGATGAGAACATGAAAACAAACCTAAGGGGGACATGGTTGGTGTCCAAATATGTTTGCTTGCTCATGCGCAATGCTAACGTTGGAGGATCTGTCATTAACGTCTCTTCCATTTCTGGTCTCAACCGTGTCCAACTCCCCGGAGCACTTGCCTATGTTTGTTCCAAGACTGCTGTTAATGCATTGACCAGGGTACGTACCTACTCCACTGCTGTTTTTTTTATATTGTTTTTCATATTTATGGGTCTCTTTGGTTGAGAGAAGAAAATATTTTTTCGAAATATTTGTTGTTTTTATTTGGACGTACTCCATGAGTGAACCGAGCCGATAACATAGAGGGACGTTTGTTGTTCTTACTCTTTAGTGGCATATAAAAAATGATTTTTTTTTTTTTTTGAAAATCAGAAATAAATCTCAAGCTTGTGAATGGTGCATGCATGTGCAGGTGATGGCACTAGAACTGGGAAAACACAAAATAAGGGTGAACTCAATATCGCCAGGGCTATTCAAATCCGAGATAACAGAGGGACTGATACAGAAGGAGTGGCTCAACAATGTGGCCCAGAGAACCGTGCCGTTGAGAACCTATGGCACCATAGACCCCGCCATCACCTCCCTGGTTCGATATCTGATCCACGACTCCTCCCAATACGTCTCTGGAAACGTTTATATCGTTGATGCAGGAGATACTTTGCCTGCGCTCCCCATTTTCTCCTCTCTCTAGTTTAGTACAAATGCATGTATACTATGGTGAAATGTACCATATTGTGAGTAATAATAATAAACCAAAACCCCCATTGGTTTTTTTATGTTCAACAGGATAATTTTGAGAATTCATTTCTTATATACCATTTAACCTTTTTTTGCATATAATATCTATTAATTAATGGTCAAAGTCGTTCATGGATTCCATTTAACAATAAAACCTAAAATGACCATTTAAATGTCTTTATGCCAAATTTTCCAATATTATGTTCCTAGACTTTTTTGTGTGTAAACCTATACGTTGTTTCTACTTTTTAATTACATTAAAGTATTCCCTAGAAAAAAAATATTGTAACTAAAAGAATAGATAGCATGAATTTTAAACTCTAACTATAGCACAAAACATAAATGAGAAGGGGCAAACCTATAACCAATTACTCCTAGACGATTTGTTTGGTACATTTTGGAGAGTTAAAATGTGAAGAATATGTGTGTGTGTGTATTGATAGTGTTACATAAGCTATAGTCGGCGGAGAGGTGCCGACGATAGATGGTCGAGGATTAGTAGCAAATGGCCAAGAACGATATGATGGGATGTCGACGACGGGAGACAGTTAGCAACATGGGAAAGCGATAGTGGTGTTCGTGGGGGGTTGGCCAATAGCGGGAGATGGCCAATGACGTGTGGCAAGCGACGATGATGGTAGAAAAATAGGGTTAGCAACTCCTTATATAATTAATACATAATTATAATAATAAATATATATTTACACTCCTCGTATAAATCATTAAAAACATATTTACATTCACCCAAAAATAATACTCCTTAATAATTATAATAAGTATAATATGAAAAATACACCTAAATAAATGTTAAGTTAATGGTGGAAGATACTCGAGGATCGCTGGGAACCATCAATTTTACGGTGCTCCAAACAGAATTGTTGTCATAATACGGCATTATGCTTTGTTGTCAAAATAACCAAAGTGAAAGAATATAGCAAGATTAATTATCTATACATGACAAGAAATGTGAAAATTATTGTGGGTCAGCACAAACAAATTCCCTCATAGTGTTTGGGGGGGGGGGGGATTCAAACCCCATTAAATTATACTCCCTATTGAGCATGTTCTTCTCAAAGTGGTATTTGGAGTACATCATAATTTGGCATGCCGGGAAAGAAGTTCAATAAGATATATGCCCACAGAAGTGTACCTCTAAAGTTTGGAAGTAGGAAATGAGGCGCGTTTCGTCACGGCAATTGCCGTCTTAGAACCCAAAGGTCGGCCCAAAAGTCCGCAGATGAATTCCCCAGCCAGCATAAGCTTATGGATGTCGACATTTGTCCTCACACCCAGTCCATCCAGCATATACACAACATCTTCCGTCGCCACATTTCCCGATGCACCTTTGGCATATGGGCAACCCCCAAGCCCTGATACCGATGAATCCACCGTGCTTATTCCCATCTGTCAACAATCACCAGTTTTGTTTTTCATTCATTATTTAGTGGGTGTTTTCATGTGTTTATAAGCTGTTTTTGACTTATAAGTCAGCTTGATGACATGTTTCTTTGTGCTTAAAAGCTGACTTATATGCCAAAAAAAATAAGTAGGTCTTACTTTCTTATTTTTAAGCCCAGTTTTTTTGTTTCTCCGTTTTAACCAGATTACTTACAAAACTGTCCTTCAGCATTTATGAATATTTCCGAATGAATTATCTATCATTTAGGTCATTTTACTTCCACGGAAGATTATTTGGCTTATAAGTAGCTTATAAGTTAAAAAACTGATAATTAGCAATAAGCCAATAAGCATCAACACAGAGAAACATCCCCCTTAATTTCAGGGATTGTTTGGAATCCGACAACCTTGGACAAATTGGTAATTTACAAGCTTAGTAGGCACTTTTACCTGCAGTGCCACGAGTATGTTGGACAGAGCTTGGCCATACGTATCGTGAAAATGGACAGCAAGCTTCTCCACAGGAACAACATCACTAACTGCATCAAGCATTGGAATGACCGTTCCTAAGACAATAAGTTGCGGATCAGAAAACAAAAAATGTCAAAGGCTTGCGAACGAAATAGCAACAACATCGAATCTAATATAACCCCAATTTCATTAAAGGGAAATTTCAAAGCAACCCATATCTAATAATATAGCTTGGAGAAGAAACAGTTTATTCCATTACCTGGAGTACCAACCCCAATTGTATCACCAAGGGAAATTTCAAAGCAACCCATATCTAAAAGCTCTTCAGCAACATATGCTACTTTTGAAGGATCTACTGCCCCTTCCACTGGGCAACCCACGACGCATGAAATATATCTGGCGAATAAATATGCATTTACATGCGAACAAGAGTTAAAGAAAATAAAATATGCATCTACAACTATTAGAATATAATGAACACCTACAGAACCTAGTAAGTTCAAAATAAACCATAAAAAACTTCTAAAGATATAGACAAAATACATCTTAAAAAAATTAGACTGTGCTAGGATACATGTTTCTAGATTGCAAATTGCGACAGTTTTATTGGGCTAAATAAGTAAACTAGCACAATGATGCTCGCAGTTTTTTTAAGAAGGAAAAATACACAAAATGACCAAGACAAAGAAAAAAACATTGCAGAGTGTCCAAGTATAAAGCAGATAATACATAAATATACAAGAAAAGCAAAATTTCTTATAAAACAATTAAACAAGTCCAAACAGCTACCTAAGCAACCTACAAGGTTTTCAAGGATGCAACTTTAATAACAGTCTGTAAACATATGATAAGGCCTACCCACGAATAGGAATGGAATGACTCTTGGCTGCAAGAGCAACATCACGATAACGGGTGAGACTCTCTTCAATGCTACAGTTTATGTTTGCCTGAGAAAATGACTCAGAAGCAGCAGCAAATACTGCAACTTCTTTGGCTCCACTTGAAAAAGCAGCCTCAAAACCCTGAACAAAGACACAGATATAGTTTAATACATCAAGGTTCAAATTATGACTGTAGTATTGACGATGCTGAACCAACAAAATATTACGAGCACATTATGATACTTAAAATAAATATAATAATTACTACTTACTATTACAAATATAATAATAACACTAGTAAGAGGAAAAATTCATTTAAAAAAGTGGCAAGTCTTTACTTTAGACGTCCTTCATGTAGCAATCTTCTAAAGTTCTTTTCAATAGAATGAAAAGTTCCATGAGACGGCAATGATAAAAGGTTGCAGTAACAACCACAACAATAATAAAAGCTTCCACTTAAACCATATTTCTTGAATAGTTCGTCGATATAAGAAACTCACTTTAAGGTTTGGTGTCAATACTGGAAATCGCACACCTTGGATTCTTTGAACTGCTTGAATTACATCCTTTGCATCTGCAAGCTTTTTTGAATTTAAGAAAACATATAGTGTGTCTCTGTCAAAATCCAAAAGAAGTGTACATAACAAAAAGTCAAGAATCTACTAAACAATTCCCTAATAAGAATCTGCTAGATAACAAATAGACAAATACTCTATGAAGTAAACAAATTATCACACACAAGTTACACTATATGTTTCCATCTAATTCTCTTTGACAGCATAGAGAAAAAAAATTAACAAGAGAAGAAACACACAACAAACAAGACCGCATACCTGTGGTACCCACTTTGGTGACACAAAACTAGTAGCCTCCACAACTGAAAGTCCAGCAGACACAAGCATTTTTATTAGTTCAACCTTGGAACTCGTTGGTACGATCTTCTTCTCATTTTGCAACCCGTCTCTTGGGCCCACCTCCACAATTCTCACAAACTCAGGGATATTCCCCAGCACCTAATTAGTTCCAAACAATTTAGAGGGAAAAGGAACCAACTAATTGGGACCTGAGGCCAGCAAATGAACATGCTTTGCTATAAGAGTAAGGTACCTTGATCAGGCCATAGCTATGATAGGAACAGGTGCTATAACGATGATGTACCGAATTAAAAGAATCAAGTGTTGCTCCAATGGCATTAGATTCTCTGTTGAAGACGGGATTGAGTGAGACACTGTGGTTTATATGTCCACATTTGCCCCCCTTCCTGTTAAATGTGTATAATGAGTGCTTAGTTTTGCCATAATGTACCATTTAAAAATCTGTCAAGATTTAAAGAAGACTCCCAACATATAGTTGCAACGTGAAGAGGTTCGTGGTGTTAAGATCTAATGGAATGTCCTTACTTCGTATGGCTTAAAGGCAAATGCTTCTCTTGTTGTTCACTGGTGGAATTATGGAGTTGTGCCTCAGGTGAAATGCCATTAGCGCACACACGGCAGGCAGAAGATCTCCTCCACCTGGAGAATTTCCTGGCAGCTAGCATTGATTGGATCGCGCGATCGGCACTTAATGAGTGGAAGCAAACAATAGACGACGATACGGGTTGGTGGGGATGCTCATCTGCCACACGTTTTCAGTTCCAAAGCATAATATTAAAATATCGTTTAAAAAAAGAGTAATATAGCTTGCATCTTCAAACCTTGTTTTGATTTGAACGGAGTCCAAGAATTTCACGATGTAGCAGCAAGAACAAGTCAATATATTCATTTAACCGTCCAAAAAAACGAAATCAAGACGAATGAGTGCAGTACTCCTTACCTGCTACAGCTTATACGCTCTGAGAATCAGTTAAGCAGCCCAACACAAAGCATCAACTGCACTAAAAAAAGAAGCTGAATCACTGGTTTTAATAAGGATTAATCAATTAAAGATGAATTAACCCTGAATTTATAAGATTTTTTTGGTTAAACCTGAAAAATAGCATAAAAATTCAGAACCAGGAAGGTTTTTAAAGTAAAGCTGAAAAATACTCACAGATCTTTAGTTCAACATCATGATATTAAACAATCCAAATTAAATAAAGTATTCAGATATGAATTTCAGCATGAAGCAAGAAGAACAAAGGGATCTTACTGAATCAGAAATGAAATATGGCGTTTCCAAAAAAAACTCAGAAATCGTAAACCTAAATTCAAGGTCGTATGAAAAAAAATCAGGCGAAAAGAAATTTGGACCATTTCTCGATTTGTGCGTGTCATCCTTGCGCAGGGGCCATGCTAATCTTCTCTGTATCGTTCCAATTTTATCGGATGTCCCCGAAGGGACACTCTATGTTGGGAGCCTCCCGTAAATATACAACGTTTTGGTTTCGAGATTTGCCGGTGTGGGAGAAGGAAGAAAAGTATAATACTCGTTCCATCCCGCTATATTCGTCCACTTTTGAATTTTGGAAGTGTTCATCTAAGCACTTTGACTTAGTCATGTGTGATCTTGTTTGATTTGTTTTAACATATAGGTTATTAATATATAATTTCTATAATTTTTTAATATACAAATTACAAGATAAAATGGATTAAAAAAGTGTATTGGATGGTGTGTAAAAATGAAAGTGGACAAATACTCTGGGACAAATGTAGTAAATGCTTTTTCGATTATTTGGGTCGTTAAGATAGATTTAAGAATGCAAATGCCGGTGCGCGAAAATGCTAAAATTTAAGATAGAAAAAGTATAGGGGAACCTTGGATCGTCAATTAAAGGGAGAAAGACCAAAATAGGACTAAAACATTGAAGATATACCAAAATAGGACTTCCATGTTTTTTTTTCCGAAATAGGACTTACATTACCAAACATGGTCATATACATGACCAAAAACGTATAGTAATGTGCACATGTACGCTGTCACATTACCACAATGCAAAGTAACATATTACCACAGTGCAAAGTCCTATTTCGGGAAAAAAAACATGAAAGTCCTATTTTGGTACTTTTCTCTATGTTTTAGTCCTATTTAGAGTGAATTCTATCAATTAAATTCAAATAAAAAACATATATATTAATTCTGTTTAATCAACTTGAGTCTATAGGATTATGGGCGAGACCCGTCTTGTCTAAGGAATAAGTTTAATGGGATGTAAGGCTCATCGCATAACTTGCACAGTGCATAATGTCTTTGCAGTTCAGTGCATAATGTCCACGTACAGCAAGGACGTTTGAAGATTTAAAAAGTGATTTTCTGTTTTGTTTTTTTTTTGTTATATTCTGAATAAAATATAAATTTAGAACATATTTATTAATTTTTTGAGGCTGTTCATTTTCCCCGTCGGTTGTAATCCGTACGTAATTTGTAACACGGAGTATTATAATACTCCCTTCGGTCACGTTAACATCTTTTTCTTGTATAGACTATCAAAAGAATTTACTCTTCTTTTGAGAAAAAAACTAGCAGTTAAAAAAGTTTCTTTCTTCTCATCAAATTTTTTGTCATTAGGTTTACTTTTCTAAATATTTCTTGAAAGTCAAAGATAGAAAACTTTATTGGGACAAAGGAAGATGCATATTTTGAGTGTGATACCACTTTAAATGTTGAAAATAGAATAGATATAAATGAAATATATAATATAACATATCTAGGCGAGTTCTTGTGAGAATGAACCCTAGTGAAAGAAATAAGAATGAATATTCACCCTTTATCTTTGACACTTAAGTTTACACAAAATACATTACATTGGTAGTGCCTTCTTCACAAAATACATTACATTGGCACTGAACCTTACACAAAATGTGCCATGCTAATTTGCATCTATAAGCCTTTTACACTACCATGCTTAACTGCATCACATTGCATTGAACACTCATCTTATTTACAAAAAAAGACTTCAGTCCATGAGCTGAAAACAGTTCATTCTTGGGGATGAGTATTATCATCCTCACTAATGAACGGTCTCCAATCAAAATGTTGTAGGTTTAAGTGCTGTTGAGCTCTGCGTACAGTTTCTTGATCAATACTGACTGATATAGGAAGTTCACCATTACGTAACAGAGTATTCTTTCTAACATGAGGAATTTTATATGCATTGCATCCAAAAATATTTATCACCTCACCCATACAGTATTGTAAACTTAACTACACAAAGTTTGAAAGGTTAGGTTTTAACACATAGTAGGATTGAGTGACAGCATCCACCAGCACATCAATGCTCTTCCATTTCTTCTCTTGTTGAAGGGCCTGTATTGCTCCAAAACAAAGACAATAAGATCTGGACTGTTAGGTGGTTGACATGTTAATTTTATGTCAAAACCATCTGCTTTGGCTACCTCAAGAAATTCTGATGAGTCAGTACAAGCTATGTATGGTCGAACATTATCTTGTTGAATTACCACTCTTTTGCTCATATAAAGAAGGCACTTCTCCTTAATGGTACGGTCGGGAAGACTTTTTGAAGTAAAAATGTTCTCCACACCTCCTTAGTCACTGAATTTGCTGGTTTTGTGACTATAGTACCTCTTGGTCTGTTCCTACTCTTCTTCTTTACTGGTTTCTTTTTAATGAATGGGAAAATGCCAATTTTCCCATCAAATTTAACTTTCCCATCTTCTGTGAATTATGGTCGTGCACTTGCAGCTAAGAACATTATCTTTGTGATAAATTTCTTAGATTTAACTGTTCTATGGAATTGGTTTCCCTAGCCTCATTTGCATGAAAATACACTTTCTGTGAAGTCTGAGTCATGTAAAATCACTTTTCATCTACATGCACATACTCATAAAAATCTTGAAACTGTGGAGCTGTTTCCATGCTTCCTACATGCAGTATACTTAAGCAAAACTCTAACCTTATTACCTTGTTATCTTCTGTCAAATAAGGTTTGATTGGGTTAGTATGAGCCTTGATTTTCTCACACTTTATCATCCCGTGAATGGTATTTTTTGACATAGATACTACCTTTGTTAGTGCTCGAATGGTCCGCCTCTTAGTGGGGGACACAGCTGAGACATGCTGAATTGTAAGAGTCACACCCTACCTCCCATTGAACTTCCCTTTCATCTGCACATGACACTCACTGTTTTCCCTTTTTTGATTTATTCCTTAGCTTGTGCTCATAATCTTTGCACAGTTTTTGAACTTATGTGAAACTGCCCAGTGTTGGGAAATATCCCTCCTACATGGAGGAAGTGTCCAATTTTAATTGGACAACATTTTAAATCTCTCTCTTATATTTGGGCTTATTTTTGTGTGTAAAGTTTTAGCCCAATTGTTTTTTTAGTGGCCCATTCTCTTGTGTTGTGTGTGGCTACTAACTAAAGAAAAAAGAGAGAAGATAAGGGAGAAAAAAAAGGAAGAAGTGAGGGCTGGCAGTAGCTAAACGCTGGAAAGAGGAAGAAAAAGAAGATTTCCGCCACTCTCTACAGCAGCAACTTTTCACCTCCGGATCGAAGGCCAAACAAAGTCGGATCGTGCTCAAATTTTAGTATGTTGTTCCTCACATACTCCTCTTCAAATCTAACGGTCAGATTCTCATTTTGATGCCCAGAAGGCTGTTTTCTAGCTGCATTTTCAGACCTGCGTTTTTGGGAGTTTTTACTCCATTTTATGTTGAATTGTTGATTGTTGTTGTTCCAAGGTTGCTCCTTGATGATTGTGTATGCCTCTAGTGTTTACTAGAGAGGAGAACTTGTTGTACCCACTTGGTTCTTGGTGATTAGTGGAAGTTTGGGTGCCGTTGTTGAGCGGCCGTGGTTTTCTCCCCGATTTGGGGTTTCCACGTAAATCGTGTGTTCTTTATCTTATTTCCGTTGCTATCTATTTGTGGTGGTGGTGCTGATTTTTGGAGTATATTGTGCTTTGTTGTTCATCTCATTAATTTGGGGAAAAGATTTTATACGCTTCCGTTGTGTTTTGTTCCGTGCTTCCCCAACAAAGTGGTATCAGAGCCTGGTTATTTATTGGTTGGCTTCTTGTGTTGTTTATGATGGATGACAAAGTAATTGTTCAAGGAATGGTTAGTTTGGACTCTACGAATTATTCAATTTGGAAAATTCGTATTGAGGATTATTTATGCTCTAAAGATTTGCTTGACCCAATTTTGTATAAAGAACGTCCAACAGGTGTTGATGAGAAAGCTTGGATACCTTGAACCGGAAAGCTATTGCATCAATCCGACAATATGTTTCTTTAAGTGTGTTGCA